GCTAGCTCGTTTACTGTCAAAGTTAGTTAATATATATCCATAAAGAGGTAATGGAAAGTGTAATTAGAGGAGCAGGGGGTGGAGTGGAGGAGTAGTTTGCTGCTAATTTCAGTAAGATTTACCTACGCGCGTTAAACATAAGCCAGGGTCCAGGGTCGGCGGACGGTGTGAACCCGGACAGTGGCAAGGAACGTGGACTGAGGTGTCAAAGGTGTGTGTACTTTCCCGTGCTCTGGTGTGTATTATCGTGTGCTTTGTGTATGGAGAGAGAGTGGGTGTGTTCACCTATTTTGCGTGTAGGCAAAATGTGTCGTTCTTTTAGCTCATATGGACCTCGCATCTCCAACCAACAGTTGTCTAATGTAACAACCCGTCCTCGCATTAAACGACTCGTTAATCTAGCCGCCAAACCCCCTGTTTATGAATGAAAAGCTGCCGATCAGTTGTGACTTGTCACAATTGGTGACGTCCGAACAATTCCGGAACAAGTGCTTCGCTCACGTCCTCTGTTCAAACCACAGTTCTATAAATGCTTCACCCACGTACATCAAATATAAATAATTCAGCCCGTCCTCCAAACAAAGATCCAAAAGTGATTCCATGCACCCGCCAAACCCCCTGTTTATGAATGAAAAGCGGTTTACACACGACTCATAACTGCTGACGTTCGAACATATCTGGAACAAGTGTTTCACTGACGAATTTTGTTCGAATCACAACGCTATAAATGCTTCACCCACGTACTACAAATACAAATAATCGCCAACAGAACCTAAACACCTGACCTAACCTATGCCTATATATACACAATATTCTAATATATTATAATATTAATTTACACTTGAGGAAATTCCCGTTTCGAATGAACAGCATGTTAAAATTTATGAATGCGTCTGTGGGGTCGACCGCTGGATGGAATGGACTTCGAGTTGAGGACGGATTGAATAATCGCCAACAGAACCTAACCTATGCCTAACTATACGTAGAATTTTTAAGTATAATATTATTAATTTATATATGAGAACAAACCAATGTTTAATACACAGTATGGTAAAATTGATGAATGCGTGTGGGGAGGACGGCCGCTGCTTTAACCAGCCTAGTGTGAGGACAGGTTGAATGTAATAACTCCCGACCCATTTTTTTCTAGTTTATATATTTACGTATCTACTATTTTATATATATATTACGCATCAACTAGTTTATATACTTTTCCATTTATAGTCTGGCTCAGGTGCTACTAGCTTTTAACATAATTGTTTTCCCCTAACAATTTTCCCTCATAGTATTTCGTATGTAGTTATCATATCCCATCTCTATTCTTCGTCTCCCCAGTACGGCGGGCTCCAGGGCTCAGTGTTGCACATAGCTCGTACAACATAGCAACGAGCCATGTTGCACGTCTTTTGACCTTTCTCAATTTTATTTTCTAGCTCTTCTTCCATTTTGTATAACCTTGCATTTGGCTGGGTTAAAGTTCAGTAACCATTTTTAAGACGTATGGAGTGGATCAAGATAGATTTATCTAGTCTCATGGTCCTCCTCTACTCTGATACTTCTCATATTGCATTAACATGGACATTTCTTGTCAGGTCGTTGAAATATACCTGGATGTGATTGGTCCTAGAACAGACATAGCACTCTATCGCTTCTTAGCACTCTTCAAACTGATTTCTGTGAAACTCTCACTGTGAACCTTTGCTTCCTTCCTGAGAGGTATTCCTTGCGCAGCCTAACACGCATAAACATACATAATGTTGCTTGTCTGGCCTGCTTTTCCTTTCCTTCTATTTCAGTTCCCCATCTCCCCCTCTTCTCGTTATCTACCATCCTCTTATCCCTTGCGCGATTTATCCTCACACTCCGTTTACTGTTTTCTCTCTGCTTTCTCTCGGCTCTGTTCTCTCTTCTCCATTCTGTCGTTAAAGGAGGATATAACAGTAGTAAGAAAAATGAATGGCGCCCAGATATTACAATAACGAGGTGATGTAAATCTAAAGTTTAGACTGCGAGAGTTCCACCTCTCTGTGCTACATTGTTCCACTCCCTGCGGCACTGTTCCGCTCCCTGCGGCACTGTTCCACTCCCTGCGGCACTGTTCCACGCTACGCTTTTCTATGGAATGTAAATATTTTTTTAGTCTCATTATAAAGAAAAAATATAGGGAATAAACCTTCTCTGTGTATACTTGCGGTCGGGCATAGTTACATAAATGTTTACGGTAACAAAGGTTTAATTTTTTTGACCCATTAGGTAGGAATTTGGTACTCTGTTGACTTTGTTTACTCTAAATAATTATGTAGTCTTTATGCATTTTTTTTTAGATATTTAACGTGGTTTTGGAGAATCTTTTTTCACAAAGTAATACTCGCAATTTCACTTGATGTCCCGCAAGTGAAACGTCAGCCTAAATTACATCAAACATTCAATAATTGATCACTTGATATTTGGTATCTTTTCTTATACAGCTATATAGTTGTATAAGAAAAGCCCGAGCTCTGCCCGAAACACTGCGCGTACTAGTGGCTTTACAAGAATGTATTTACTATGCTATGTATCCTCACAATCCCAATGTACCTTCTTGTATATATATGTAAATAAAATAAATAAAATAAAGTTGTTAGTATTGAACTACATCTGCTCATTTTCAGCATACTTTAAAGTCTGTCTAGGTCCTCCTGTAAAGTTTCTGCAAATACGATTTTATTACCCGTTCTAAAAGTTAGTTTTCTCGGGAAATTTACTAATGATGTTGCTCACCTGTGTCCAAATTATTTTATGTATATAATGAACTGTAAAGGTAATTGTTACTGCTGGAAGGTAGGTGCTGTAGGGTAGGTGCTGTAGGGTAGGTGCTGGAAGGTAGGTGCTGGAAGGTAGGTGCTGGAAGGTAGGTGCTGGAAGGTAGGTGTTGATATAACGACCAAACCAGACGTCAGGGGTCAGATTCACAAAGCAGTTACGCAAGCACTTACGAACCTGTACATCTTTTCTCAATCTTTGGCGACTTTGTTTACAATTATTAGACAGTTAATGAGCTCCGAAGCACCAGGAGGCTGTTTATAACAGTAACAACAGTTAATTGGAAAGTTTTCATGCTTGTAAACTGTTTAATAAATGTAACCAAAGCCGTCAAAGATTAAGGAAAGATGAACACGTTCGTAAGTGCTTGCGTAACTGCTTCGTGAATCCAGGGCCAGAAGGAGACGACGTAGTCTCTTCATCTTCTGGTGTGTGATTTTGTCATCATATCTTCAGCCACGTTATTGTGGCTCTTCGTCTGCACTAGGTGGTGATAGGTAGGTGCCTATCTACGTGTGAAGGTGGTGATAGGGAGTGATAGTGAAGGTGGTGATAGGGGGTGATAGTGAAGGTGGTGATAGGGGGGTTAGCAAGGATATCTGACCTTGCCACGCCCTCCACCGACCTCCCTTAATACGCCTCTGAAGCCGGATCTTTCTCGCCTACCTTGCTTTATCTGGCTCTCTCTCTCTCCCTCTGTTTCTTTACCCCTATTTCTGAGCATATTTCTTTTCGTTCTCAAAGGCCTTCTTCGCTTTCTTATCCTCCTCTCTTTCTATTCATTGCACTTCCCCCCCCCCCTTTTTTTGCTACTGTTCCATCTCCTTTTCCTTTCTCTTCTATGTTCTTCCTCCTGCCCTGTTTCTCTGCCTCGTGCGTCTGCCATACCTTCCCTCCGTCCTATCCCAGCTGCATGTCCTTCTATCCCTTCAGAGTGCTATGTAGGCGTTTCTCCTCGTAATTGTCTAACCTTCTCTTCTACCTGAAACTGATAATCTACCTCCTGTTTCTGCTTCTCTTCTGCTTATCTCTTCTCCTGCCTCTGCTTCTGTTCTGCTTACCTCTTCTGCTTCTGCTGAGGAATTCAGCAGAGCGCCGTCTTCCGTAGCGGGGTCCTCACTCATTTACATAATGAGAATTTCATTAACTACTATCGAAGGGTCCGGCTACCTGGGTCATCTTGTCTAGTCGTGACACGCCCTTCCCTTCCACGACCCTTCCTGTCACCCCCCCCCCCCCCCCCAACGACCTTTCCTGCCCCCATCTCCCACCCTCAACGACCATTTTGGCCCCCTCCCTCAGCACTTCCAGACTACCCCACGACTCTTCCAGCTATTTTATAGCTCCCCAGACCGGCTCCCCTTCCTTGGCTCCCATTCCTGGCCCTCACGTTCAGTCTCCCCCTCCTCTCCCCTCTCCCCGTTCACACCCCTCGGAAAAGCGACTTGGAAGCTCTTGTTTCTTCTAAGTGAATAATGAGAACCTTTAGTGACGTCACAAATGTATAATTAATAAGTTATGATCCCAGAGCCTTGTCCTAAAGCACACGCACGCACGCACGCACACGCACGCACAAAATACGCCCATGGGGGAATCTAGGTTACAAATCGCCATCAGTGAATGAAAATGTTATTGAATAAATGGTGAGGAGACACCAGGAGGAACTGGACAGGATGAAGGTAATATGGGATTAGAAAGTCTCATCGTAGATCCTGAAAGAAGCAACAGAGGCACTGAGTTATCCCTCTGCAACTCTTAAGAATGAATTTACCAGAGTTAGGGGAAACAACTTTTGTGGTCCCTATATGTGCAAAATAAGACTGGAAACGAAAGAAGCCGTCAGTGACGCTGGCAGTCTACCATGTAAGGTTCTGGAGTAACTTGTGTCAAGACGATTCTTGGAGTACTTAGTAAAAATGTGCTTTCCCTAGGCGCCAGCGTGGCTTTAGAGAAGGAAAATCATGTCTTAAATATTTTGTCATTTGGTCTTAACACTAAGAGAGAGCTGGATGTGTATCATGGTTCACATAGTCACAGAAAGTACTATCTGAACAAGAGGATGGGTTGGAATCTTCACATGGTAACGAGAGAGAGACAGAGACAGAGGTTGAATTTGGAGCCAATACAATTTATTAATTTATCAAATGCAAGCAAGAGTCGTTCAGCGGATAATTAACCTTGGGTGTGTTGTGTTTCAGGTCTGGCCATCGAGAAGCTGTGTGAGACAGCCGAGGCTAACTTTGTGGAGGGTGGGGCGGGCGGTGTGGGCGGAGGCAGCAGACCGGAGTACCGTGCCTCTATGATCCGCGCCGCCCGCTGCCTGCTCTCCTCGGTCACCCGCGTCCTCCTCCTGGCGGACACTGTCGTCGTCAAACAACTCCTCTTAGCCAAAGATAAGGTGAGTATGTGGGGTAATGGTTGATACCTGGTTGATGGGGTTCTGAGAGGTCTTCTACTCCCCAAGCTCGGCCCGAGGCCAGGCTTGACTTGTGAAAGTTTGGTCCACCAGGCTATTACCTGGAGCGGCCCGCAGGCCCACCACAGCCCGGTTAGTCCGGCACTAAAGTGTGTGGACATAGGCAGGGACACACACTCGAACACTATATCTTGGATTGTTGTAAAATTGAGCCTTTTAGAGATAAATCTAAGCTCACTCTGTATGATATGGCAACCTATCTTATTACCATGGATAAATTACCTGAAATCCTTGCACTGTACCCACATTTTGCTTCCAGTAGATGAACGACATATGAGATTCAGAAACAAGTAGTGTATTGTGAGGACTAATAATAAACAGAAGCTTCCCTATGACTCTGTAATATCCCCATTGGCCAAACTATTATGTATTAACGACAAGACCTACCATTAATGTATGATGACTTACTGTAAATATGTAGCTCTTGTAATAGCACTTTCTCTGTAACTAGCCGACATTGTATCTATAAGGTGTGAAGGATTGAAGAAATTGTTTATGTAATAATCTAAGATGAGGTCTGATAAAGACCTTTTGTGCCCTCTGTAATGCTTTTGCGCTACCGCTCACAGGATGAGTATGGGGGTGCACAATAAACTAGCCGCCTTCGGCGGCAACAATAAAAAATCCTTGGAGGAAGCAGCAGCAGCAGCCTCCTGAATGGCTCAAGCCCAGCCACTTTGGGCTGGACGGTAGGGCAACGATCTCATTTCATGCAGGTCGGCGTTCATGCCCCGACTAGTCCACAAGTGGTTGGGTCACCATTCCTTTCCCCCCGTCCCATCCCAAATCCTTATCCTGACCCCTTCCTAGTGGTATATAGTCGTAATGGCTTGGCGATTTCTCCCGATAGTTAACTTCCTCCTCCTGCACGGATCATTGGGTAATCAAAAACTCTAGCGCTTACGAATGAGTTAATTCACAAACCACTCATTCGTGTCCATATGATGTTGGTAGCCAGCTCTGCCTCTGTCGGGGGCCTAGGTCATATATATATAAAAAAAAATTCAAAACCTAAAAGGGGTACCACCTCTTGTGCAAGTGTAGGGACCCATAGCCTCGGAGAAGAAAATAAAGAGTACTCAGAGATGACCTTGTGGATCCTTACTGAACACTTTGATATTGTCTTCTCCTACCACCCCTATTCTTTTAGTATGTGTATATGTGTATATATATATTATATATTATATTATATAATATATAAATATATATTCACGTTCTTCTCATCTTCGGCAAAATTTAAACTTGACGAGAACTTGGCCACTCCCGTCAAACGTGAGATGGAGGCGAATATTCGCACTTGTCGTATTTTATGCATTGGAAAGTTTTGATTATGGCCAGAATAAAAAAGTCTGCAGAGACCATTGGAGGACACGCCTTTCGGTCCAGATGAGGCCGCGTCGTCTGGTCCTGGGTGTGTGTGTGTGTGGGGCCGGTGTCGAGTCCAGGGGCGTGTCCGTGATGGCCAGTAGTAACATCTTTCATAGTACCGCAGACAAGAATGTGATACAAGCAGTCCGCTATATTAGTTTCCTCCACCCGGAAAGGAGAGAGAAGAGAGGGAAGGGTGGGAGAGAGAGAGAGAGCGGGGTAGTAAAAAGAGAGGGATAGAAAGAGGGGGGGAAAGGAAGGCGGTAAGTAGGATATAACAGGACGAAGCTGTAACAAAGCCAGCAGACGAGCTCCTATGATTAAAAAGGAGGCATGAAAAGGGGGGGGGGGAAAAGACTGACTTTGGAAAAAGAGGACAACAAGGTCGAAAGAAGGTGGAAGGAAAGCCTTGATGTGGGGGGACGAAGGGGGAATAGGACTTGAATGCCCCCAACAAACGTCAGATTGGACTTCGTGGTTGAATCCCCTCCTCTTGCCCAGTTTCATCTGCAGCTGTAACGAGGAGAAAAACACCTTGAACTGGAAGATAAAAAAGTGGGGGGGATAAGGCACGAGGTAAAATATGGGGAGGAAGAGAAGGAATAACTTTTCAGGACCAGAAGGGAGTGTAAAAAAAAAATGGGAAGGGGGGGTAAAGAGATGACGTTTCTTGGTGGCTTCATATGCGCTGCTGCTTTTATTTTTCCTGTCTTAAAATTCCCAGCGAGGGGATTGTTGTCTCTACAGCCTTGACCCTACAGCTGGCGGTCAAGGCTGGATAAATCTAAGATAGCATTGGGCGAGGGGGAAGAACCGAGTTACAACCCCGCTCCTGTGCCAAGTAAGTCCACTACGGGCTCACCATAACCCGTGCTACTTAGAACTTTTTGTTCCTAGTAGCTGAATCTAAAACAACAATAATTGAGTGTCACAGGGGTCATCTTCTTGAGGTTATCTTGAGATTATTTCGGGGATTGGCGTCCCAGCGGCCCGGTCCTCGACCAGGCCTTCTTTTTGTTACACACACAATCAGGAAGCAGCAAATAGCAGCTGTCTAACTCCCAGGTAACTATTTACTGCTAGGTAACAGGGGCATCAGGGTGAAAGAAACTCTGCCCATTTGTTTCCGCCTCCACCGGTGATCGAACCCGAAACCTCAGGAGTACGAAACCCGAGCGCTGTCCACTCAGCCGTCAGGCCAAGGACCGAGGGAGTGTTGCTGGGATGAGGGGGGGGGAATAATAATACACATATGTATATATATGTACACGTATGTGTATGTGTGCATATGTGTATAATATATAATATATTAATATAATAATATACACGTGGAAAATACTGGAGGGACAGGTCCCAAATCTACACAGTAAAATAACAACATACTGGAGTGAACGACATGGAAGAAAATGCAGAACAGAACCAGTGAAGAGCAGAGGTGCCATAGGCACAATCAGAGAACACTATAAACATCAGAGGTCCGCGGTTGTTCAACACCCTCCCAGCGTACATAAGAAATATTGCCGGAACAACCGTGGACATCAAGATAAAACTAGACTGTTTTCTAAACAGTCCAACCAACCGGACCAACCGGGCTGTGGTGGGTATGTGGGCCTGCGGCCGCTCCAAGCAACAGCCTGTTGGACCAAACTCTCACAAGTCAAGCCTGGCCTCGGGCCACAGGCTTAGGGAGTAGAAGAACTCCCAAAACCCCATCAAGCAGGAAGTGTTGCAAGGATGAGGGGGGGGAGGTGTTGCAGGAATGGGGGTGTGTGTGTTCTAAGAGAGGGAGCACAAGTGTTCCATGGGGGGGGGCGAGAGTGTGTTCCATGGGGGAGGGGGGGCAAGAGAGCGAGTGTTCCAGGAAGCAGAGACGAGAATAATGACTAGAGGAAAAGAAAACAAAGTTAAAAGTGATGATGGGAGGAAATGTGTTTTAGAGTAGTGGGGGACACGCAAGGGAGAACCTGCATGGAAAGTGGGAATAGAGAGTGGGATAGATGAAGAAAGAGATGGAAAAGTAGCTGGGACTTTAGGACTTGGGAAAGGCTAAGTCTGGAATATCGGAAAGGATACCACGCAGGATAATGATCCATTGTTCAACATATTAACCAGAATCAATAACTGCACAGGACTTTTTAAAAATGTTTTTTCAATGTCCAAAATATTTGTCTGAGTTAAAAACATGTTACACATATGTCTGGCGCGTACGAGAGCGGACTCGATTTAGACACTAGAGGCTCGTAGAGTTAAAGTTGAATATTCTTGCTGAGAGATGGAGGTGTCCGGGTTAAAGGTGGCTGCTGGAGCCGCTGGTGTGCGTCACCGCTGCCAGCTGGAGCAGGGCCGGGTGTGGCCGGCTGTGTGTGTGTACTCGCCTAGTATAGGTGTGTGTGTGGCAGCGGATGTGGCCGGCTGTGTGTGTGTACTCGCCTAGTATAGGTGTGTGTGTGGCAGCGGATGTGGCCGGCTGTGTGTGTGTGTGTGTGTGTGTGTGTGTGTGTGTGTGTGTGTGTGTGTGTGTGTACGTACTCGCCTAGTATAGGTGTGTGTGTGTGTGTGTACTCGCCTAGTATAGGTGTGTGTGTGTAGAAGCCAGTGTAAGTGAATTAGAACAATTAATCGGCGCTAACGAATATTAAAAACATGAGAGTTCATAATTTACTAAACCTTGTGGCACCCAGCGCCTTGCTGTTCACCACTCTCACTCGTCTCTCGCTGTTATCCTCGACTTCCTATCTGATAGGTACTCTAACCGATAAAAGATTTTCCCCATTTTCTTCTCAAACTTGTATTACGGTTTTCTGTGTGGTACACTGTCGACTGCTCTCTGGCAGTCTTGGAGAAAATGCCCTGCTTACCCTTCTGTCTTTCGGGTTATTTTGTCATAAAACCCATTAATATTAACCTTTTGATTAACCTTTCTAGTGACTTGTCTGTAGTCTAGTCGTTTTCTCCATTTTATTTTCCTTGAATTGACCTGAGGGACGCGAATAGTAGTGGCTTCGACGAGTAAAGGTAGCCGGCGGCTTGTCGAAAGTGTCCCCATTTTATATCATAAGTATTACTTTATATTATATGTATTATGAGCTGCTTTCCATTCCTCTGTCAGTTCTCTTCTTGCAATAAGTTGAAAATTCCCGTCGAAGGTTTACACAAGGCTTCTGTGATCTCCTTTAGGAGCTCCAAGATGATGTCATCTGGGTCTGCTGTTTGTACTGACTCAGTCTGCTCCAGTAATTTCCTTAGTCTATTATTCCCGGCCTTGCTAGAAGCGGTAAGATGTTCTATTAGATCCAAGGGCAGTTTTGGTTCTAGTATGAAGACATGGAATTTCTAGTTATGCATTTTTCACACTTTTAAATTGTGTGTCCTTCTCTTCGGAGCCAGAAGAACGATATCTTCTGGCGATATCGTTCAACTTCCAGCACGTGTAAGAACCATCAACAATGATTAAAAACATGGATAGGTATCTTGGGATAGGTATTTTAGGGATACGAGGATTTTTGGGGGATAAGTATCGGTCGTGAAATATGGTTGTAAATGAGTGAAGTGGG